TCTGTTCCTTTTCCTTCCCTCCTGTCTTCATGGGGATGCGTTCGGCTCGATGCTGTAAAGTTCTGATGGCAGAGTTTGTGTTCCAGTGGATGGTGGGAGTCAAACAGAAGATACTGGTCTGTGTGGGTTGGTTTTCTGTAAAAATCAATGTTACGGCATTCCTCTCTCTCCATCTGAACCAAACAGTCCAAAAAAGGCAGCTTGTTGTCGTTTGCATCCTCTCTGGTGAACTTGATGTTGTTATCGACCGAGTTGGTGTGTCTGGTGAACGCTTCTATTTCCTTGGCTTGGATTTTGACCCAGGTATCATCCACATATCGGAACCAATGGCTTGGCGTTGTTCCCTCTCTCTTAGGGCTCTCTGTTCCACTTCCTCCATGTAGAGATTGGCAACAATGCGTGACACTGGAGATCCCATGGCACAGTCAATAATCTGTAAGGACATGTTAAGTAGCATGTCCTTACAGACATTTTTCTGTCTGTAAAAATGGTCATTGAACTTAAAATAAGTTGTGGAGAGGCAGAGAACCAACAGGGTGCAGATCTGGTCTGGGGTGAAGTTGGTCCTGTTGGTTAAGTCATTGTCTTGTAGAAGTGGTTTTCTGATGGTTTCTACTGCTTCAGAGATGGGTATGCATGTGAAAAAAGAAGTCACATCATACAATACAAGGGTTTCTCCTGGGGTTAGTTTCAAATGTTGAATTTTGTTGGCAAAATCAAAAATCAACCCACCTTCAGGTCAATTGCTTGTCTCAGCTCCCGGCATTTTGCCAATGATTGCAGCCCCCTCCTAAATGAGATGCAAGACATTATGGAAGTATCTATAACATGGGGCGGCTGTGGCTGAGTGGTTAGAGCAGTTGTCCTCCAATGCGAGAGTTGGGGGTTCGAATCCACCAGCAGTCACATGCTGAAGTGTCCCTGGGCAAAACACTGAATCTCTCATAGCCTCTGATGTGTGTCCCATCAGTGCATGAATGTGATAAAGCACTGATTAGTCTCATCAGAATGATTTGCTCAATTAGCTTTGTAGAGATCTAGTAGAGTGCTGTATGAATGGGTAAATGAGGACACAGATTGTAGTGTAAACAGCTTTGAGTATCTGGAAATAAGATAGAAAGGCGCTAAATAAGTACAGTTCATTTACATTTACTATGTCAGTGCAAAAAATATGATTTAAGGAATGCAAACAGCGTTCTAAGCAAGGAAGCGTTTTGATCTAGGAATGTTTATCAGTTTATAGATCCTGATCTTCTCCCTTTGACTCTTCCAAAGTCCATCTTGTCCATCTGGAAAGGAATGAGACCACACTTAGCCCAGCCCCCTCATCCACATGATAAGCTGTGCTCTCCTTCTGTGAAAGGAGGAGTCTAGGCCCTATATATTTGTAATGCCATGTGACAGGCACTTCCGGTGCAGGATCCCACGTTGTGTATCGGACTGGCCAGCTCCTTAAACTGTAACCTTCTCCTGCCTCGATTTTAATGCAATTGGTAAAACTTAATTCATGTTTCCTTGATTTATTGATAGTGTGAGTTGCTGCTTCTGAGGGAGGTCCGAGCCAGGGGGCAGTGTGAACTGGATGTGCATGTGGGGTCTGAGATGAGGCCTGAGGCCCACAGCTAGCTGCAGTAGCTCGGGGCCCGCATCGGCTATTGCCATAACAACTTCACAAATCCAAGTTCATGCTCAATAATCCATGTAATAAATCCAACAATGTTAAGTCAAACTTACTTAACTTCAAAGTTAAGTCAAACAAAGTTGTTTTGGCCATGGCTGCCTCAGACGAGTCAGGGGGGTGGACTCCAGAAATCAGCGTATCACCACAAAACTGTGAGAGTGTGCTGCTTATGGGACTGGGTTTGCTGTAGCTCCTTGGACTGATGAAGTCCTTTGGATGAGATCACGAGAGATGAAACTTTTCAACATAAAGACATCATTCAGAGGACATGACTTAACTTTGTTGGACACCTTCAAGTAGTTTGGGGGTAACTTTTGGTGATTTTTCACATCTGTTCAGAACTAACATTTGTGTCTTAAAATAATTTATTAGCATCAATAAGTTCTAAAACAACAAAATTTTTCTTTAATATTCTATTACACTGACACTCAAAGACAGTACAGACAAGACATTTCTAACTTCAACAAAGTAAAACAATCTAATAGAATAGTTATGTTAAAATATATTATTGTTTTATATATATTTATATATACTTTTATATTTCACTAACAGTTAGCCACATCTTTCACCACACTTTGCTCCACAGAAAGCAGTTGTATGTTTCACTCCACAGTTTGTGTTGGGCAGCTATGTGAGCATGGTACTGTCACAAAACATTTATCCACAGCAACAGGAAGCTCTTACGTCTGTCTGGAGGGAGCACCCTCCAAGAGCAGCAGCATCTTAAACAGAAACATTTGTCTAACTCAAGCAGGAATCACAAAGCTTCCACATTAGCAGCAACACTAACACTGCATGCAGCAACTATGGTGTATTAATACAACTCTTCTCTAGCATCACTCACTCTGCCCTCACTGGAACAGCACAGCTTGTGGTGGGGGAGTGGGAAGAAGAAAAGAAAAGCTTACAATTTACAGTATATGGGTTTTACAGACATTGTTTGAAACCATAACAGGAACATGACCCCCAAAAAAAAAAACATGAATCATTGTCCATTTTTGTGAAACTTAACAGTAAAAACAGCTTTCATCTCCTAAACATTATTGTTCAGGATTTGAAGGTTGAAATAATGAATAAAAGAAGAAAGAACAAGTAAAGAACAGCATAGTATCAGCCTTGTGACTATCATGCTGTTTTTACTCGCTAACAACAAACCTCAGGAAAAAATAAATATAGATCTCAGTGCATTTCATTGTGTGACATTCTTAGATTTCATCTTTAGATTTATGTTAGTACTGGTTAAAGATATATAATAATTAATTTCCTTTAAAAAACTGCTTAATACTTCTAATAAACTGAAGCATAATAAAATAAAGTGCTTTTTCTTATTTGTACTACTGATGATTATGACTTTGACAATAATGAAACCTAGTAATGTACAGTGAGTGCCCGTAGGTGCAAGCCACATGAAGCTTTGTTTGGTTCAAAATATCCTGATGCTGCTCAATAATCCAGGTAAAAATCTTACAAAATAAAGTCAGGTCCTCTGGACGGATTCTTCTTGTTGAAACGTTTTGTCTTTTGTCCAAAAGACTTCTTCAGTCTAAGGAGCTGCAACAAACTCAGTCTTATAAATAACACCTTCTCATAGTGGATCAACCAGTTTGTTGTTGACATCCAGAACTAGATGTTCACATGTAAAAGGAGGACCATCAGTCTAACGACCGATCGTTAGTGCCCTGAAGGCCACTTGCCATTCGCTGAGAGCTGAGTGATACTAGCAATAACAGCATTGTAAGAGGTGGACAATTGAACATGGAGGCCTCCACCCGTTTAATGATGGACGCCTGTGACAGCCACTGACCAAAAAGATGGCCCAGCACAGAAGAGCATCATCAGGCCAGGACTCTGTGGTCTACACTCGTCTCCAGGCCAGCGGTCACTCTTTCAGGGATGAAGATGTTCACATCGTGGATAGAGAGGAACATTTGGTTTGAGAGATGAGTGAAGGAAGCCATCTTTGAGAAGAGAAACCGTCCATCATTAAACAGGGGTGGAGACATCTGTGTCCAACTGTCCCCCTCTTACAATGCTGTTATTGCTAGTATCACTCAGCCCTCTGTGAATAGCAAGCTGCTATCAGAGCACTAATGATCAGTTGTTAGGCTGATGGTCCTCCTTTAGCATGTGAACAACTAGTTTTGGATGTCAACAACAAACTGGTTGATCCAATATGAGAAGGTGCTATTTATAAGACTGAGTTTGTTGCAGCTCCTCAGACTGAAGAAGTCTTTTGGACAAAAGACAAAACGTTTCAACAAGAAGAATCCATCTGACTTTCTGACTTTTAAAATTAACAACTGACCAGTAGAGGATTGTTTCAGTGTTCTATGGTTCTGGGGAAAGGTTCTGAACAATTAACATCTTGTGTGTTGTAGATAGCTCTCTACATGGCCTCAGTTTGGAAAAACACTGTTTATTTCAGGGAGAACTGATGAGCTGAACCAGTAGGCAGGCACTTTCTGTGTACTTCTGTTGAAAGAATTAACTTGTTATTCCTCAAATTGAGGTAATTGAAAGAGCTATGTATAACAGGTAGGATAATAATTGTTCATAACATTTCCACAAAAAACTCATTTAAAATGGCCAGAATGTCCCATTAGCTTTGCATCAGAATCAGTTACCCCATTCATCCATCCATCATCTTTACCCGCTTCTTCCTTTTTGGGTCGTGGGGGCTACTGGTGCCCATGTCCAGCAGTCACTGTTTGAGAGGTGGAGGACACCTTGGACAGGTCTCCAGTCCATCACTGGGACACATAGAGACAAACGAGACAAACAACCCTTGCTGAGGCAGCAACTCATTCATTATTTCATCATCTGGGTTTTCAGCACTTCATATGAATAATGAGTGTATAGCACAGTTTTTGTGGGATGGATGGATTGTTAGTTTATAAATTTTTCTGATTTTGGTAAACACTTCCTGCTCACCTGCATAAAAAGTGAAGTTATTTTTTTGGGTTTTTTTGTTGATATTGATTGTTCTGGTTTTTAACAAAATTATCCTTTACTTATATTTGCTGGTGGCCAGATATTAAAATAATCATACCAACATTTGATATGAACTGTATTCACATGGCAGTGTTGCAACTAACTTCTTCTGTTATTTAGCTTAAAAGAAACATCCAAACGTGTCATAAAATATTGCTCTCAGTAACTTCAGATTTTACAATCCAGTGAAGTTAACTCCCTCCCTGCAAATGTCAGACATCAACACATCCAATAAACACTGAATTATGGGGGAAAGCGTTGTAACAGGTGTTGTGCTAGTTAGTACACTTCACAGAGATGTTAGGTTAATAATGCCAGCAGGGTTCTCCTATAGGCATGTTTCAGGACATGCAGCCATGCTGCCGTTCTGCTGAGGCTCTTTCAGGAACCTCTCCACTTCCTGTGAGTCCACAGTTATACTCTTTGGCCTGTACTCAACCATTTTCTCCCTGTTTTTGTCCTCCTCCTCATTTGCTGCTTTCTCTTGTTCCTCTCTAGCCCCTTTCTCGTCAACATCTGCACCTTTGCTGCACACATTCTCAGACCAGTCATCTGTTGCTGTGATGCTCTCCAGTTTGTTTGCCTCCACAGAGGGCTTCCGTTTGATAAACAGGAAGTTGCAGGTAGCCAGAACCACAGCTGAGACCACCACTTCACATCCCGCCAGCAGGAAGACGTACATGTAGTTCTTGGTGGCGTCAAGCAGCCGCCCTGGAACAGAAGCAGGATAATTGCAGAAAGAGATGAGATTAAATGAGTTCTCTACAGAGGTTTGGCAAAAATCATTTACATTTGCCCACTTTTCAGTACAATACACTGCATGAAAACTTTTGTTTTCTGTTACTATCTCTTCCCACTGGATGATGACCCTGTTAAAGCATAAAAACTCGTGCAGTGGAGGATCTCTGTAGGATCTTGGTGAGGTCTTCAGTTGTGTATAAAAGGAACAGGCTGATTATTTTAGAAGCAGTGTTCTATCAAATAGTTGAACTGAACATCAACCATGTTTTTGTCATTAGCTCTGTGGCTGCAGAATATCAGTACACTTGATCAGCACGTCTAGTCCAAAGGTTTATTCTGCACCGGTCACCGGTATATTGAGCAGCTTAAGCACCAATAACAATCGACATTGACAAATACACAATGAGCAGCACACATACGTAGGTAGGCCTGTCGCAATAAACAATAACTCAATTAATCGCATGATAAATGAAAATTATCAACCTCATTTTCATTTATCGGCTTCATCGTTTCTTCGCGTCTCTCTTTCTACTGAAGACACTGGATGACAAAAAGCTCAACTCCGGTGCTCTTCACTGACCCCTCCCTTTCTCTTTTCTCTTTAAAATCTGTTTAAACCGTCCAAAATCACATTTTTGTATTGTTTAAAATAGCTAAGCTGAGAAGCTAACCTACGAGCTAAGCTAACAGACCGACCTGCGGAAAAAAAAACTCTGTCTTGTCGAAGCGCCAAAATTCACAGTTGAACCCGTACCTTTGTGTAAAAAGTTTTTCTCTGCAAAAAGAAGCTGAGAACTTGTTTACAGATTTTTTATGAAAAGCTTTATGTGAAAAATGCTATGCTAAAGAGCTCAACCCACACTGAGTGTCCGCCATTTTGGGAACCAAAGAGAGACAAGTCATGAGACATGTCAAGGGGCCTCCCTCTCATATTTCTTAAAGAGACACGCTCCTTCCCTTTCTATCCATCCTTCGGTTCAAACAGTCTTATACTGCCATCTGGTGGTCAAAAAAGGTACTGCATGCAAAACAAAAATTTGACAATAATTACTGATCAAATTTCAATCAATATTATTGCTTATTGCGATAATTTCTGAGACAATTAATCGCCCAGTAAAATTTGTGATCATGACAGGCCTACACATACTTGTCTGTAGTAACATGCATGTTGTTGAGAAAACAGCAACAAACTAAACAAATGGTGCCATGCAAAAGTGTAGATGTTTAAAATGACCTTCCTACATCAGTAGGAAGAGAGTTGTTTATAAAACCTTAAAAATTGTTTAAAATGGGCTAGCCATTTCTTCATACTTCGTACTCTATAAATGATGTCACGACGTACACCATAAAAACTAATGATAACTATTTGACAGAGCATCACTTCAAAAAAGGACCAGACTGTCCCTCAATGATCCCTTTTACATGTAGTGTGTTGTGGAGGGTTTAGACCGTGTTCAGAATGCTTGTATCAAGGTTAGGTTCACAGTGTATGTTTTCAGTGGAAATCCCGTGTATTCCAGTGGATTTTTTTTGGGGGGGGTCTGGACAGATAACAGATTTGAGAAAATAATTAGAGAAAACTATTATTTTAATCAGTATAAAGAACAGAAAGCACATCAACCTTTTATATCAGCAATACAATGCAGTTAGGCCTTTCAAAAATCTGTCCTCATTAGATGGTTCAGTCCACTGATCCAGGACAAGGTGCGAGTGCACCTAAACCCTGCAAGGAACTGGGTTTCTGTAGCATAACAGGGAGCAAATTTGACTTTGTGTGTGGAATGGTGTTCAAGCCTCAGAGAAAACTCTGAAGTTTTCTTGTTATATTTCTTCTTTATGTGGACGACGGCAGTTACCGGTATATTTCTATAATGTTTAAAGGGATCTCTGATCAGCAGGAACAATAGATCTGTGGCTTATAATTTATATTGGCAGTAAATTAATGTGTCTGAAGAATTTTTTTTTTTTTTGATTTGGTGGATTTATTTATTTGACATTTGTATTATGTTTGTTAGCATGTATATGTTTAGAGCTTTAAAATCTTGCAAAACTGCTCAGTGACAATTATTCATTGATGAGAAAAAGTAATTTAAACCAAATTAAATTATCCTCAACCTAATTCTAAACAATCTTTAGACTGAGGAAAACAACACCCGTATTTTATGTACATTGACAGTTTCTTACAGTTATTCACCTCACATCTCTCTGGGGTTGTGAATAATTTTTATTTTGGACTTTATTATTGTGTATGGATGCAGGTAAGATGTTAAGTAACATGTCCTTAAAGTTTTAATGATTGGATGGATGGACGGACGGACGGACGGACATTCAACCTTTATTTAGACAGGTAAATCCCATTGAGTCTCGAAGACTCATTTACAAGAGAGACCTGATTTCAACAAAGAATGATGACAACAATGGACAACAGCGACAACAATAGACAGTTATAAAAAGGCATACAGATTATTTTTTTTTACAAATAAGATGACAAAAAAAGTAACAAAAACAGCTAGATTATAAGGCGAATGTAGAAAACTAAAAACAGGAACATGTCTGCATTGTTTTTTCCCATGAACTTAAGAGATGTTTAAAGCCACTTAGAGACGTCAAGGTCGAGAGCTTCAGATCTTTTTGTAAGATATTCCAGGAAACAGGAGCGGAGTAGGAGAAGACCCTTTTACCAAGTTCAGTCCTCACTGAGGGAACACTGCAGGTAATAATGTCCTGAGAGTGTACGCTGTAGCTGCACTCATGCAGAGACATGTAGGAGGAGATGTATGAAGGCAGCAAACCAAGAAGTGATTTAAATATGAAAATGTACCAGTGAGAGAGTCTGTGTGAAGTTAATGATGTCCAGTTAACCAGTGAATACAGGGTGCAGTGGTGGGTACGATAATCACAGCCAGTTATGAATCTTAGTGCACCATGATAGACAGCATCCAACATCTGCAGGGTTCTTGTAGGAGCGTTCATGTAAATAATGTCACCGTACTCAGTGGAGGGAAGGAAAGTCACAGTTACAAGGCGTTTTCTAGCATTCAGGGTTAGGCAGGATCTGTTTCTGAAAAAGAAACCCAGTTTAACTTTCAGTTTCTTTACTAGGTTTTCCACATGGAGCTTAAAAGAGAGATGCGAGTCGACCAAGATACCCAAATATTTATAAGAATCAACAAACTCAATGGGGACACCATTTGAGGATAAAATCGGAGGAAGAACTGCTGGGACCAACTTCCTGTTTGAAAAAAGCATCCCTTTGGTTTTGTCAGCATTTAGGACAAGTTTGAGGCAGAACAAATCAGACAGGATGATGTCAAATGCAGATTGCAAAAGCTGGAAAGCCTTATCAATAGTTTTAGCTCGACAATAAACAACTGTGTCATCAGCATAGAAATGTAAGGATTGCATCAGGGATGCTCTGACCTACACTACCTATGTAGATTGTAAAGAGGGTGGGTCCTAAGACTGAGCCTTGTGGTACACCATTGTTGACTGTTAAATAACTGGAGGAAGTACCATTATGTTGAAAACATTGCCTCCAATCTGAGAGATAGTTAGAGAACCAACCAATGGTGTATAACAAGGAGTAATGGTGTATAACTGGAAGTTGTTGTTTTCAACCAGTTTGACAAGACTGTCAACAAGGAAGAGGGCCGACAGTGGATGAGGGGGCATACCAAAGAGACCATCTTATCACAAGCAGAACTGGTTTGTTCCACTTTGGAGTAAGCTGTTGGGGGAAGAATCAGTTTTGTTGTGTGTTTCCTTGACTGATGAAGCCTTCCAGACTGACAGCGAAACGTTTCAGCACAAAAAAAAGAAACTGTCCAGATGACCTGACTGAAAAATGTTGGATTGTATACCTGGATTATTGAGCATGGATTTTGTTGCAACCAATGGTGTGTTCTGAGAAACCGATTTCTGATAGCTTATGACACAAGATGCCATGGTCCACAGTGTCAAAATCTTTAGACAGATCTAAGAAAAGTGCAGCACAATAATCCTTAGCATCCAGTGCTTCAACAACGTCATTAAGAACTTTCAGTGAAGCAGTGGTTGTGCTGTGTTGTTTCCTGAAACCAGATTGATGGTGAGGTAGGATGTTAAATGAGTCCAGGTAATTTTTGATTTGAGAGTTTATCAGTTTTTCTAGAACCTTGGCTAAAATGCAGAGTTTAGAGATTGGTCGATAGTTGTTCAGTGAGGTGGGGTTACCTCCCTTCAGCAAAGGAAGAACAAAGGCTGTTTTCTAAGCATCTGGAATGGAGTTTTTGCTTATGGAAAGGTTAAAGCTGTGGGTCACAGGGACTGTGAGGATATGAGCAGCCAGCCTTAGGAAATAAGGTGGAAGTTCATCTGGTCCTGCAGATTTTTTAGGATCAAGACCTTTTAACAGTTTATTTACCTCACTGATTGAGAACGGAGAAAAAGAGAAGGTGTGATTAACTGAAGATTGACTTGTAGGAGGGATTTGATTTGTAGAAGTTTGGTTATTAAGTGAAGTGGCTGATTTTCCATTAGTAACTGTGTCAAATAAAGAACTAGAAGCAACAAAATGTTTGTTGAAACAGTTCAGGATCTCGTGTTTATTTGACACAAGAACAGAGTTAACGAGAAGTTGTGATGGGAGGTCAGATGATTGGGGGCTGCCTGAGAGAGATTTTATGGTTTTCCAGAATCTGTTAGGGTCATTTAGATTTTTGGAAGTCTGAGATAAGAAATAGTTGCGTTTTGCTGCTTTAATAGCAGTTGTGCATTTATTCCTCATCTGCCAAAAACTCAACCAATCAGCGTATGAGCCAAATTTTTTTCACTGCGGCCCAAAGATGATCTCTCCTGTGCAGGAGGTCAGTTAGCTCAGGAGTAAACCAGGGGCTGTCTCGTCCCTTTATTCTGAACTCACGAAAAGGAGCATGTTTGTTCACAAAATAAATAAAACTATTATGAAAATACACAAAGTTTGTTTTCTCAGT